AACCGCAAAATGGTAAACATTCATAACTTCTCGAATCTGAGCATTATTTGAAGTGGTTTCACCGATAGTCGAGACCAATTACTCCTGGTACATTACTAAACAGGAATTATACAGAAGATTAGCAGTCTGACGCTTCAAAATCTTAATTCGAAAAAATTAAATACTGTGTCTTTTTAAATTAACATTTTTCAGACTAATGACGATCTTACCAAAAATAATCTAAAATTCGCATAAAGAGGAAAACCAAAGTTTATGTACAATGAGTATATAAATGATCAGACACTCGTAAGCTACTAGTATTTGACCACAGATGTCTCAGAAATATTGCTGGCATCTGCTGGGATCACCGGGTATATAATAGAGAGGTTAAACGCAGGGTATTAGGGAATGATGGTAAATCAGTTGATGAGGTTATGAATCTTCATCGACTGAGATGGTTGGGCCACGTGTTACGTATGCCCGAACACCGATTACCACGACGTGCAGTGCTATCCGGTATTGGAAATGGTTGGAAGAAAGTTAGGGGCGGCCAAACCAAAACGTGGCATCAGTGCCTGAAGTCACTAACTTCTAGTCTGAGCCATGTTGGTAGATGCAGATTACTTGGTTGGGGTCCGCGTGACTTTCGTAACCAATGGTTGGAGACTATGTGTGACATGGCTCAGAATCGATCACAATGGCGTCGGTGTATACACTCTCTGTCTTCCCTCAAACTAAGTGATTAAAATCGCTTCATATCTTTCTTTCTACGAACTAATTCTTTCTTCCTGTACTATATCCTTATATGCAATCTTTCTTTTATATATTACCACCTCTGAATTAACAAATTTTATGAATCCGGTGTCCATCTTGTTGTGTTAATGAGGTATGGCAACTTGGACCGATGCATATATGTGCCTCGTCCTACGTTGTAGCTGACTGACTGACTGAGATAAGGAAGAAGTAAACAGAAATACTGTTGTCAAGACTTTAGGTTTTATCTAACAATAAAGTAACAAATAAAGATATCATGATTCAAACATACAGTACAAGCTTTGATTAAAAATAATTCTGATTTCTTTTAAATTATTATTTGTAGAAGCTTGCTAACGAACTAACTTTCTGAAACCGTAATAATAGAGAATAGGTTGTGGAATGATGAATTCCATAGACAAACTGATAGAGTAGCAGTGCGGTCATCACCCGCCTTACTTCTGGCTGACTGTTTCATTCTAGATCTCGAAAACAATAAAATTATACCAGCAATTGACAGCTTCTATCTATATAGGAAATACCGATACTGAATGACAAAGATCTGAAGCCAAAACAACAACGTAAAGGGATGTTCACAGCACCAAATAAAATTCTTTTCATGAACACTGTTTAAAAGATATAGTGCAGCAGAAATGATGAAAAATTAACTTCCGAGGTCTCTTAGAAAAATATTTTATTGGGTGGAACCTCGTATTATATTTTCTAGTCGTCCTATGATTCGTAGTTGTGTGAAAGCTCCCCGTTTGGGTTAAATCGGTGTGTATCTATCAGTTTGCTTCCTTATGTGAAGCAAGTTATATTGGCCGCACAAATTGGGCCCATTCTGAACAGAATCCAGAACATTACACTGTCTGACCTTCTAAACGATTACAGAAGTCGGCCAAAAGTTTCATCTTGGAGCAACTACTCAATTCTGGTCACTCCGTTTCACCAGAAGCCTCCTTCAAAATCATACATACTGTCAGAAGAGCCGGTTACAGATGAATACAAATGAAAAACTTATTTATAACAGAGGTTATAGCTATCGACTTCTTCAAGCCGAACCTTTGCGTACAAGAATAGTATATTCAATCCCTCATACTTACATGATTTTAACCATTTTTTATCTTTCATAATCTACTGTTTCTTATCATTATTTCTACTCTCTTCCAATGATTTTCATAACTGTTAACTAACCATTATTATAAATTTGAATTATTCTGTTCTTAATAGCTAGCAAGTAGATATTTATCTTCACTTTAGCACTTTTCACTAGCTCATTATTGCATAACCTCATGTCAATATCTGATTTTCAGTGCAGGTTAATTTTTATCCAATTACAAGAATTAAAGTTTATATTAAAATTCACTAGTAAAGTAATTTTTACATTTAGTTTAAAAAGAAACATAAATATTCTTTTTTTAAAGATAACACTAAGAATAATTTAGTTGTGAAACTGTGCATCAAACTACTCGTTAAATAATGTGATGCCAATTCACACAAGTTTTAATAATAGATTCGTTTCAAAGACTAAGAATTGATTACTATCTTTTTTATATACAAAAGCAAGAAATTAGTTTCAGTACAGAAATAAAAGGCGGATTCGAAATTTTTCAATTAATAAACACACTGAACCTTTTGACAGACTGTTTTTTAGCTAATAGTAGTCCCAGGCATAATATAACAATGTACAGTTGAAGCTTCCAATATACATATAAACCAGGACATGAAAATAAAAAACATAGCTTACGATTCAGTTTCCTAAAAAACCTGAAAAATATTTACAACGCATTGCACTCTAGCAATTGTAAAATCAATTATTCATAGATAATAATCTAATGTATATTTGGAACAAATGTTTTCAAAACAACTGTTCATATAACATGTCGATAACTTTCTAATTGTATATTTTCATTGTGCTGCACAATTAGTACATTTGATCTGATAAAAAGATCGATTTCAGACAAAGTGGACAGTATTTTCAGAACATTATATTAATTAGTACTTTTGTGGTTTTACAACACGTTTGGAAATTTATGTATCTAGAAGGTACGGCTATATAATTTTACATTCACAATAAGAGTAATTCAGAAGTATATGAGACACATTTTTCACCCTGACCTTTTATTACCTAAAGTCGATAATGTAAGACAAAAATAAACAGCACCATATTGTGTATACGTAACTGACCGATTCATCTAATTCGAATATAAAATCAAAACTACAATAGTTTCTATGGGATACACTTTTCATTCCGAAAATTCAACGTCGATATTAAATTAAATTAACAACTGACAGTACATTGTACAGAAGATAGCTGTGAACGCTTTACACAATATTCACAGAAAAAGAAGATAGCTTGAGAAGCTTTAGAAAAACATTTATTCACCAAAATAGAAAAAGTTATTCAAGCGCTTAATAAAAATCTTCCTTTACGTTTCTATAATTTAGAAGTGAAGCACCTAACAAAATACTAATTTCTTTTCCTAAATGACGTAATTATTGCAGTGAATAGAAACAGGAAACATTGAAATCCTACAACTCGAAAGCGATGCACTCAGAGGAATACTAAAGCAAATGTTTGTGCAGAACAGTTTAAACAAAGTTCAACTGAATAAATTACAAATCATGTTTTACACATGACACCTAGTAGCTCTGAGACTGTGGAATAAATTACCTAAAATAGTCACCTGTTTGCGTACCCATCAATTCAACTGAGTGAGTCAATCCGAAAGTTGTTTCAAGTATTTACTTTTTCCTTACTCATGAACAGTATTGCTAAGTAAATGCGTAGTTAAGACTGTCAGTACTTCTATTTTATTCCTTCTGTTCTAAGCAAACCATGACGGCAACAATAACTAGTTACCTTCAACAATTTAATATATCAAGAATAGATTACAAAAAGCAGTGAACTCTAAGTCGTTCAAACAGAAGAAGCGATTGTAATGCACATGAATAGCCTAAGCTCCGTAAACCCTATTAACCATTTCCATTATAAAATTACTTGATAAGTTTGATGCACTACAAACCCTTTTGTCAAATATCTTAAAAATCTGAATTAATCTAATTTAATTGATTTGTTCGCATACACTTGAGTAATTTCTTTGTCACTCATTCCACATGTATGACCTCTAACCTAATTCATGTAATTCTATGTATAGTACAATTCCTGAATATTCCTTAATCATGTTATTAATTCTTTTGCACCACGTTACCTGTATTTATTCTAATTATTATTCGTACGATTTCATTTGTTTTACAGTGTCATTGCAACATTTACAAGCAATCCTTAAATCCATAAACTGGATTATTAAAAATTCATGTCGTCAAATTGGCGATACGTTTTAATTAATTATTCGAAATAATAATTGTTGAACATAAAAATTTACTGAAAGGGATACTCTACGTTCATATGTATTTGTTTTAATTATTAGGAATATTAAATTGTTTGTTAACATGAAATCTACCGATAGACTGAAAAAATTAAAATGGATAATGCAATTTATGCTATTTTAATGATGAATAGTAAATGACGAAAGTAATTAAATATTTTAAACGTTTATTGAATACTCCGATGTCATTAAATCAATAGTGTATAAAAAAGATAGGAGCAGTACACTATTGAATAAACTAGTAAGACGATTGGACCGCTGATTAGACGTCAATTTTAAATTTGTGCATAATTGTAAAGATCTTATCTGTATTACAAAAGAAATTGATTTGTTATTTTTGCTGTGATCAACGTGCCTTTAATAATTTTGCAGTTACTTTAGAAAAAAACATTGGATACATGGGCATTACTCAGGAAATGGATAGTCCTTAAAATATATTATTTATGTTTACGTATAAAAATTTATTTTGATTGGCAGATGAGAGATATTGAAGCATTTCTCTGCATAGTTCAACTCCCGTTATGAAATTCACAATTTTTCTGTATATTAAAACCATTTACTTGTTAAGAGAACTAGTTATTTTTAATCATACAACTCATATCCGTACAATGATTATGATTTTTTTTAATTTCTGATAAACATAGCCACAAAATCTGTAATTCTAACCTAAAAGCAGTATTAAGTATCATCTGTTTTCCTAACCACTCAATGTGTTACTCAAAAAGCTTTCTGGACTTACCTAGCTAGTTCTACTAAATTAACTGTCCCCCTATATATATATATACAGAAGACTGAACAGACTATAAATTGAAAACCTGCTGAATACAACAATCAAATTTACATTACAAAGAGTATATTTGTTATCATTTTTCTTGACAACTTTTAAAAAACGTAACACAATTTTGTCGATCTACATTTCACAAAATATCAGTTTGATTTAAAATTGGTTAATAATAGTGAAAATGATGATTGAAAAACCCTAGTACGAAGGCAATATCTCTCAAACATGCTTTGTTGAAGTCATTCATTTAGCTACCGAACTCACCTTCAAGTACGTCCAACCTGTAGTTCGTTGAGGCGTAAAGAGAAATATCGCAAAAAAATGACTTCCCCTTGTCAGTTTCTTTCTAATTTGAAAGAGCTGTACACTAAAAACTGTTGCAGGGACCCTGATCGATTAACACAACTCCACCTTCGACATTTAGTGTGAAACTAATATTAGTGACTCGACTTCCAAGCTGTGTCCAGAAAAGCCCACATGAATCAAGTTTCTGCTGCAGTATATATCCACACTGAGACTTTGGGAATTCTCAGCTACACCTGTCTCCCATCTCATCTGCATCGGCCAGTAAATGTTGAATACGTAAAGTTTAAGCAACACCTACGGTTTAGGAATAGCTGTATTAAATTTCACACTGAGAGACAATTCTTAGAAAGCTACTTCATAGTTTATTGAAATATCAGTAAGTCGAATCCACATCTACACAGCTTTGCATAAAACATACTATCTTAACCGTAATAGTAGATACATACTGTCGTTATATGCTAACAAACATCAATTCGTTCATCAATAATCTTTAGCAAAAACTATAAACTTATATGACAGACAGTCATTTAAATGAAAAGTTAATATGAATGTTCGAAACGGTGTGAAATGAGAAATTTTACCAGTATTTTAACAAAATTGCTTACTTCTTTATAAACTTCTTCGGGTGACAGTAATGCATTTAGACATGTGCTTACATGATGATCACAACATGCAATGGGTATACTTTCACGGTAATCTTCGTAACCATTGACACCACAACAGCGCAACTACACAAAGATGAAAATTAACAAAGTGAAAGTATTTAGATAGAGAAAATGAAACCCGCCTATCACTTTGTCCAGTTAAAAAACAGACAGTCACAAAGAAATCGTTAAACACACAGGTACTAGGCATTTGACTTTGGACAATTTATTTCTATCACATGATAACGAATATACATTACAGTCATCTGTATATAAACGAGGAAGTTCACAAGTATCCATCAATATGAGAAATTTAATTTAATTAGTAAAAATATGGGGATTCATTAACTGCTTTGTTGAGACATGTTTTTTAAAAGTTGATATTACACATGCTTCACTTTTACAAGAATGAGAGGTGTTGATCAGTAAGCAGTTCCCATACAGAATGTCCCATTAATAGTGAGTGAACTCTAATTTGACATTTTAAGAAGTAAAGGATCAAAACATATTTACTTTACAATTCTCACTACTCTTAACAATCCCTTAGTTGGTCAGTTTGATGCTCCGTAAATTATGTGATGGCAAACACATAACCATTTGATTAGAAAGCTTTTACAAGTAAATATGAAAACTGATAATCAACATCAATGCCGTGTATTACAAACTTTGGACTGAATTTTGAATATTGACATCATTTCATATTTACTCAGCTTTATACATTGACGGAATTCTGATTCTTTTCACTGTCAACCTGAAAACAATTGTATAATTTAGTTGAAACATATCCATATACACGGAGATTAGCAAATTCAAGTCAGTAAGTGAATAAGATTTCTAGAAAACATATACATGTTAACTAATAAGAAAAATTTGAACACAAGTTTCTCTAAAATGAAAATTAATGTAAAAAGTTGCGTGATAACAATTTTAGAAACGGGTATATTAATAAGATAAAATGAGTAAAGCCAAGAAAATGACACAAGAATGAAGGAAAGGAATTTATAGATGAGAGCATGAAATAAGGTATAATGTAGTCTGTTGATGGAAGTTGGAGTCATTGGGGTAACGTGAGATATATAAGTATATCTCCTTTTGGATGCCTGGGATTAATTTCACTCTTCTAATAGAGACGACTCCTGAAGAACATTAAAAAAAATTCGAAGTTGCTTGAGTATTAATAATTTGGAAAGATTTTGAAAATGATTTATCACTAGAGTACTCTCGTAATCCTTCTATATTTTTTCGCATTTTTACCAGTCTTCATTATTATGATGTAAAGTATTATTACGGGATCTAAATAATTATTACTACTGTATCAACGTTTTAAGCAGCTGAAGAAAACCTACAAGACGAATAAATTTATATTTTGCTACCACATTCTTTGTTGTTATTTTATTCAAATTTCTCACGGGGAAAACTGTATAATAAAACATTCAGCTATATTGTCTACTGAACAAACAAGGCATGTCCTGATGTAGTCGTCTGAGTTATTATTTACAAGGATAAAACGTTATGAAACGACCAATATTATACCCTTTACATACAGTAAATGCCGTCAGACTTTATGATATCACATAAAACTAAACTGAAAGCAAACGTACTCTCATTGTTTTTCTTTTTATTGATAAGATTCTAAAGATTTGACTTTTACATTAAATAGGACTTTTGAATAAAAATAATTCACAGCAGACCACTTACAGTGACTGAACTAAGAAACGATTAACAATGCGGTGTACATTTTAGTTAATTATCAAAATTATGTAGTTCTATGATTACTAACTGAGATGGTGGAGAAGATTCGTAGCTCAGGTGGATGATTTTGATAGGGCTTTGTTCTCTGAGCTGGATGGTTTGGTCGTGGAGCTCTCATCGTTCTTCTGAACGACATCACCAACACAAACTTCAAGTAGAAGTGAATCCATCAAAAAAAATTACTAACTGAATTTATTAAAAGTTTAAATAATAAATATCAAACAAATTAGTATTAAGTTTAATTAATACGAAACTCAAAAGCTGAAAATGTCAGCACACTAAGCGAAACTAAACTTTATTTGCTTTTCTCATTCATGTGTCATGTTTCAGACTGGTGAAAATAAATAATAAAATTTATGAATAAATCTCGCATGTGGGAGCGATATAAATAAAAAATACACTATACAATTTGGTTAATTTTAGCGAATATTATTTATTTACAGTCAATGTCTAGAAACAAAAACAACAAATATGAATGAACAAGTTTTAACATGAAATATTATCGATAAAAGTTTTCTGAGAAAACAATAACTTACCATACGTTGGATTGAATCCATAAACGGTACGGGATTTTCACGTTGATCACGTAGCATTGAATACTCTTCAATACCTTCTCTCATACGATCATCGACATATTTCATAATCTATATTTAGACAAAAACTAATTATTGTTATAAACGCTTTTTATTTCTATGCGTGAATAAGAATGAAAATGTATATTTACTACAAAAATAACTTTTTTTTACTTTTCATCAAATTAATGTGTATATTTGAAAACCTTAAAGATAAAAAAGCTCCAACGAATTCTCTACTTCGTTATCATTTTCACCAATCAATTCCATGCGTGAGAAATTGTTAGTTAATTTAATCAAAACATAATATAAGCTAGAGTACTATAGAAAAGATTAATTATGCTAATAATCTTATAAAGCGGGTGATAATAAATTAGTGTTATCAGATATCTGAGAATACAAATCAATCGTTCCATAACTTTCAATGTCTTTACAAATGATGGCAGTCAGTAACGAAAGTTATTAACACATTTGTCTCAAAAAGTCATGTTTTAAACAGATACTCTTTAGTTCTGAGCATAGATAATATTAGATGAAAGAATATCAGTGAAATAAATTTATTTGACTTGTATTAAGTGTTGCTTAAAATAGACGATTATCACGATTCTTTGTAAGTTTACCAGACTTTGTTATTCAAAAACTGAAAATAATTCACCAAATAAATTTATGTTCTTAAACTAGTCAATCAGTAAAACATGTATTGCAGCAGCTACCCTGACTATAAAAACTATAATAAATGGAGGAGACAGAAACTGGTTATCCATTGGCAAAACTTTGAATGTTTACTTTATTAAATAACATGTAGACAGATAAACTCAGCATAAATGAGAGACTGTCATCAATGATAATGTGATATCTGTTAGGATACGTAAGTATAAGCTGTTCATAGAGCTTCAAATCAATAGAAAATCAAACCAATTAGAAACGAACTTCATATTTTAAGCTTACCATTCATATAATGCGGTATATAAAATGGCGAGTTACGCGAAAAAAATAAACACATTAATTACATTTTCAGCATAGAATCTTAGAAATAAAGAAGGAATATTCTCAGTTCAAAATTTAATCACACTACACAACAATTTCAAAAACTACAAAAACATCTTTGTTACCATAATACAGCTAGATGATGCCACTCATTTATTTTATTATTTACTGAAGAAACATTCAGCACAGTGCTTAACGTATTTATGTAGTTTATTCACACTAGACTTTAGTTGAGATACATAAAGTATTGAACAATACACGATACATAGGTTCGTCACTTACAAACTTGTCACCTGTAACGTAACAAGGCAGTAGGCGTAAATCGCTACAGAAAGGTGGCTTAACTGATATTTAAATATAGGTCAGGTCGAAAAGAAATCATGTTCGACGTTCTTATTTGTGATAGCTTATTGTGCAAGTTACCTATACATTATAGTAGGAGTAATAGTACAGATGGAAAATCATTAAACACCGAAAATTAATACATTCAGATAAACGATTAATCTAAATGTTAAATTTTAGAATATAAAATTCTTTCAAGGTGAAGATTTCATTGTGCTAAACAAAACTTACTCAATATTCTTTTTATCAAACCATATAAAACTTATAACCTTATTTCTTCATAAAGGCGATGTGATTAGAAATCGCTAATCGAACACCAATTTTTGTAAAGATTTGGTATCCATTGCTATACTTATTACTTATGTATGCTTTTTAGAGATAAACAACAAAATATGTAAGCAATTTATTTGCTATCTTGTCAAACGATTTAATTAACATTTGGATAGAAAATAATTCACTGATTAGAAATGTTCCCTTCCCTAGGCTTATACTAAAAGTAGCATCAAGATTCGATTTATTAATTAATACTTTCAAAAAACGTTTACAGACAAGTGCATCAAAATATAGCAACCCATATATGATAAACCTTTTATAATAGGAGACGGGTTATGTAGAAAGTTTTGCAGCATCAATTACAGCTAACTAGTTTAGATGTAAACTGATATTATTTGATTTCTTACAACTACTCCTTACCAATAGCACTAGCATGAAACAATAAGATATTCGAATCATGCATAATTATATTTTTGTACTCTTTCAGTTTACGGATATCCCGTACATTAAACAGCTTAAAAATGTATACATCTGTGAGGACAGGAGAACTAAGCATATTTATTTATGCACATAATTAATGAATGAATAAAGTTTAACATTATTAAGTGAAGTTCTAGTTTATATATACATAGTATTCTATGAGTTTGTATCTGGAAGTTGTCCAATTATGGGTTTACGTATTGGTAGGATGTTTAGGTACTTATTCGAGTTGCTTTGCATACGCTTATACATGCAATTGTATATTTACCAATTAACAATAGTTCAGATTTACGAAAACTCATACTTTTTAATGTATATGTATGTGTGCTTATGTCGAGCAAAACATTCATTTATATATCCAATAAGAATCTTTTATCTTAACTTTATAACCTAACACTGAAGTAATGAATAATTATGATAACTAATAGGTGAAATTTCTTTCTGGCTACCTGAAGTCTGTTCACTAAAGTAAATTATTTTTTTATTTTTAGGATTCATATGTGAACAAATAACACCTACAGCATCTTCCGATATATTATTTAATGAAATTGAGTAACCTTAGAGTAGAACAGCAGTACCGTGAAGTAGCATGTTTGTACGTTAGTTCGTCGACCTTATATGAAATATAACAGAACAGTGAAATTTAACATGTAACTATTCAGATAGATTTAGCACTCATTCCAAAAATATAGTGGATTCTGATAGTAGTGAAATAGAATTAGAATGATTCTTTCGGTACCAGTTAAGAATACTTCGTTTTGTTTGAAACCTTATGTAGTACATAGTGCCTTTTCATTGGACATAATCAAACATACTAATCAGGATAACTAGTAGGGTGATTTAACAAGTAAATGTTGTGAGCTCATTGCTCGACGGTTTGTGGTGTTCATGCATATTTTATCCATTGCAATTTACTCATCAACGTTGTGGATTTGATGAGTGTAGTTATATATTACATAAATGATGCAACTGTCAAAGTAATGAGTAAACAAATAATTAATGAGCTGTTTTATTCATCTATTTATTTTCACTTCTTACTATAGAATTTCTAAGGACTCGACAATTAAAAATAATCTTGTAACTAAAGTAAACCCTTATTGGAATCATGAGTCGATTGAAGCTAGACCACCATGGAAAACCTGGAAGCACTGGACGGCCGTTTCGTCCTAGTATGGGACTCCTCAGTAGTGCGCATCGACGATCTCTCTTCACGCGAGATTCTAACCCAGGACCGACTGGTTTAGCGCGCGAGCACTTAACCACTAAACCACCGAGCCGGCATCCAACGGTGTTAATGTCTAACTTGATTTCAATTCATGATTTCAACCTGTGAAATTTCCTAAACTCTCCACAAAACCCATTCTGATAATAATCAACTGCTCACTAGTGACTGATTCAGGAGAACCTCCCGGAGTTCTGGTGAGAAGCCGTCATCAGTGGAGTTCCACCAGGTCTGTCGTGAGATATCACCTCACTGAAGACAATGGTGTTCGGTGGCGCAACTTCGTGGATTGGTTGAAGTTAGACATTACCACCGTTGGATGCCGGCTCAGTGGTCTAATGGTTAAGTGCTCGCGCGCGAAGCCAGTAGGTCCTGGGTTAGAATCTCGCGTGAAGAGAGATCGTCAATGCGCACTACTGAGGAGTCCCATACTAGGACGAAACGGCCGTCCAATGCTTCCAGGTTTTCCATGGTGGTCTAGCTTCAATCGACTCATGATTTCAACCTATGAAATTTTTAAAAAAAAACTCCACAAAACCCATTCCGATAGGCCCTTATTACTGATTACGATTTCCTATTGTGTTTTCTTCAAAATTGGTTTGGCCAGTTGCATAAAATAAAATTGAAAAATGGAAAACAAGAGGTAGTTGTTGCAACATAGTCACATGAGGGACAACTATGGTATCTATAGCAATGTATGAAATTTCCAGATTTTAGTAGACAAAACACTGACATTCAATTATACTCAGAAATAAAACCTACTTTTTAAATTCTAATACTATATATTACTAAATATGAAGACCACTAGTGTGATATACATATATGAAATTTCTTTTGGAAGTTTAAGATACAAAAATGAAATGGTATTGCTAAGCTTGTTTGTTACCCAAATTTCTGCAAAATAGGACGTCAAAAGCTAACACTAGCTAGAAATAACAATCATGTCTTTTTCTGGTTCTCTTCAACCAGACTATCTTAAAAAATCAAAAACCGATTCCTTACATGAACCCATATTGTTTAATATTGAGGGTTAAATATTCAGATCAATCTATTCATTTTACTACATTAGGGTTATTACTCCGAATTTCAGAATAAACTGATCGTTATCCGTCAGTCAAACCGAAGTGCTTACTTCTTACACTTCTGATATAACAATTATTAGCATCTACGAATGCTTGTATTTTATAATGCTATTAGTCCTAGCAGCATCAAAAGTCTACAAATGCCACACCAAAATAAGTTGATAGATAAATCTTCGTCGATATGTTCTGCCAACAAATGTAAGATACAGACTTCCAATCAACTACCTAATGGTATGAAGAATAGCTGAGCAAAGTGGAAGAAAAATGGTACACCTAATGATGACTGATGCATACTACAGGATCCACAAATACCAAGTCTTCATGAATGACCCAAAGAGGATGCTAGAGAGGATACTCACATTAGAACATTTAGCAACCTTGACAACAGCCATCGAGATATCATGCAGACAACACAGAGAACAAAGAAAAACATTCTCAAGAAAAAAACCAACCAGGAATTCAAAAACACCCATTGAAGAAAACACAAACAACTGAGTGATCAACCTGTCGAAGTAACCGCTGACAAACATAGAAGAACACAAGCTCCGAAGACGATTAAACAACAATACAAGAAAAACACCGAAACTAGGATTTATTGCCACACTAGAGTCATCACTAAAAACTGCCAGAACAAGTGAAGAAACCTAACAAGAAATAAGACAAACCATAGTACCGCTAGCTCGACGAAAAAAAGACAACAGCCAACCAACTTCACAAGAACAAAAAGCCTTTAAGAAATCCAGAACTATGGAAGACATACTTTCAGCAGACAAAGGACGCACCACAATGATTGTGGACAAGCATGAACATCACAGGAATGTCAAGGAACCACTTGATGATAAAATCGTCTACAAACCAATGGACGCAAACCCAATCAAAAGATTAGATAACCAAATCTCAAGGACTTCAAATAAGCTTTTCAAAACAGAACAAATATCAAAGCAAGATCAATGAAAAATGAAATCCAATGGACTAGTACTCCCCTACATCCTATAGCCGGCCAAAAATACACAAACCAAACATCCCACTATGTTCAATTTTAGCCCTCCCCGGAATATCAACGTACAACCTGTCAAGAGAAATTTCACGAATATTGAAACATTCAGTGCATTCATCCAAACATTCTATCAGATCTCCCATACAATTCCTGGACAACATTAAGGAGATTCAAGTCAACAACGAAGAACTGGTATCCTTCGATGTGACAGCCTTATTCACCTCAACTAAATGAAGCTTAGCAAAGGGAACTCTATTCCTGCTTCTCACCAACGACACAAATCTCCCTAAGTACACGGAGCTTCGAAGTTAAAGTTTACTAGAACTAACCAATTTATGTTTAACAACATATTTTTAATAAAACAACAAAACCTAGGAACAAGTGAAAGGAAAACCGATGGGATCACTAATATCAGAACGTATTGCAGGAGCAGTGATGCAGAGACTGAAAGTCTCGACCTTATCAGTGATCAAGCTAAAACGTTGGATTAGTTATGTGGACGAAACTTTCGTCATCATCAAAAAGGATGGGCTGGAAAACACTCAAAATCTGATCAATAACGCTTTTGGTGACAAAACGTTCACAATGGAACATGAGTCAAACAACAAACTACTATCCCTGGATGCATTCATCACCAGAACTAAAACAGGAATACGGGAGGCTCAAGTATTTTGGAAGCCAACCTATACATATCAAATTCTCAATTACATTAGCAAAAACCCAAGAACTCACAGCGCAGAAAACAATTATGTTAATGTATTTTCAACCCATACACAACTAGTTGTCAATAAACGCAAAAATATTCTAAAACATCTGCTTTTTGACGAAACAAAAAAACAGGACAATGAATAACTGCACAGTGGCAAAAACGTCACAATTATAAATTTCGCTTTATGCTAGTTTAGATAAAATAACACTTAAATGAAAGATTATCAATAAATAGAATATATTCTGGATAAAAGTAACCCTCACCTCCTCTCTGTATAAATAACCCAATGTGGCTCCTGTTACTTGAGTTGCAAAGATCACTATAAGGATAGTGAAATATGTTCCCAAAAGACACTGCGATTCATGGTAAGCACCACAACAGCCAAACAACGCTATTACTAAAGTAATTCCACCGATACCCATAAGAGCATATAACATGATTTGTACCGCATGTTGCTGTCCCGACGCAAGTATGATGTCCTGCGCCTCTGGTTCCAGGTAGATGTAAACAGAAAAGCCCAAAACTGCCAACCCAATAAGCTGAATGAATGAAAAAAATTTATTGTTTTAGCACAACAAAAACATTAATTACAGTTAAACAAGAAATAATCCGTTATTATATTATGTAGATTTAAGGAGAACTATGCTGCGATGAAGTGTTTGACTGATTCCCGAGTGTTAGAAAAATCTATCTAGACTCGAAAGGAATACCCATCTACTTAACTTCTTAAATAATCGGGCGTTTACGGTTAGTCTTTTTTTCAATATTATCTCAGTAGCATCAGAAGTAACTACTTCATATAGTATGACTGAACACATCGTATAACAAAAATGTATGCTCTCTCATGTTATTCATACTGCTATACCGTAACAAAGCTACAATACTGCCATTCTTGCACATGTATTTTAAGACACTTCCACATACAACGGCCATTTACACTGGTAGAATAAGATGTACGTAATGATAGTCTGTATTCAAATATTACACTAAAGTTGACGATGAACAAATGCTTGTTGAAATTTAACCCTAAGGAGTCAAAACAGGAAATCACCTAATTTCTGATACATGTGAGGTTTAGAAAAGTCAACAGAAATCACAAGTGAGATATGATAAGTGAATAAACATTTTACATCAGTTTTAAATGTAAGACAATGGCCTAATACGAATCAAGACAAAATAATTAGAAAAGAAGATAAAGTTATTATTTTTTTCCAGAATTAATAAAAACCGTTGTCACATTAAAGAAATAAGAAATATAACGCTCAAATTATAATCACAGTTCCCTACAGTTGTTTCTGATGGACAACATCTAGTAAAATAAAATGCACGAATTTTTGAGTTTTTCTCTGACCAACTAAAGTTATCTTGGACAAATTACTTTTGTTTCCTTGTTTATCAACAATATTATTCGAACAGATATTACGTTTTTGTTGTTTTATGTCTAAGACCCAAGTTTTATATGTCCCATAAAAAGCTATCATCTGCTCCGAACTGAGACAACGCCTAAAACCACGTTATATACCTAGGTCGCATAGATTTACGGTAATTCAAATGCTTTACTGTATCGCTTTGTGGAGGAACTGACAACTGTAACGTATATTTAGCTATCTAGTTCACCGAATACTTCTTCAGGCCAAAATAAACTTGATTTTCGATTTAGAGACCACAATGGTAGAATCTTATTTTGTGTGCACAACAAACTTTTTTGAGCAGTTCATGAGGCAGTCATCCAACTTGTGAGGTCATATCATTATATACATATATGGAAACAGCTAGGAAATTATTGTACTCAACAAAGCTGATACACTTGAAATATATCAAAATATTTCGTGTAACATATACGGTATCAAAAACGGCCACATAAACTTTCCCTGCAACATCGATGACACTTGGGTACCAAATAACTCGAAAGGTTACCAATAGTTGGTTTATGATAGACAACTCACTAAACCACCTTCAGCTATATATCATCAATATATATATATATATATATATATATATATATATATATATCTGTCACCATTTTAAACAATATGGGAGATATTCTGTCGTCAGATCGCTTATTTAGTCTGAATAACTGATCTAACATGAAATCAGTTGGATCAGTCTACGGTAGACGGGTTTTACTCAACAGATAACAAATGTGAAACACACCACAGGAGTTTGTGCTAGACACCATCCACACATTCCCATTGCTATAGAGTGATTCAGTATTATTTTACTATGCGAGTAATAACAACTTTATACAAACCGAAAACTAATACTCAAGACGGTTCAGGTGTTATTATTGATACAATCTTTTAGAGAAATATTGGTCAAATTAACACAGGATTATATTACAATATTTACCAGGTAATACACCAAATTAAAGCAATTACGTTAATTTATTGATAAGGATTGCTAACTTAACAACTTAATTAGCTTAAAATTTTCGGAAGACTTAGTAACTAACAGTTATCTTTACAGGGACATTTTATCGAGTATTACTCAATTCACAATCTTGTCGAAAAAAATCCGTATTTAAAAATATTCTAGTGATATTATTTGACGCTTACCACAACCAGGAAGTTGAAAACTACTAGTATGACTCTTAAACACTGTATACAGCCCTTCATAATGAAAACACCGTCAGTAGTTTGAAAAACCGCAGATCTATGACGGTACAACAATCATACTTTAAAAAAGTAAAAATATGTATTGAAAAACCGAAGTTCGTCATATGGTATAAATAGTTTATTATTGCATTGAAAATGATAATGATATTTTTATGAAGTCACTTGTGTTCACATATGTACTTACAGTACAGAATATATGGGACACATTTCTAGTGTGTTTCCATGTAGTTGGTGTCCAACTGCATGAATCCATCGAAGGTGATGCAAATATTCTTATTGTTGGTCCAATTTCGTTTGAATACCCTTCCCTTTTAAAATCTTTAACATCTGATCGAATGCCAGTGAGCCATAGTCTTCAAGCCATCACCCACAGTGAACCCCAGTACATTTGTTGCTGATCTTTGAGATGTTCTACTAAGTATTAGTTTGGAGATTTCGTGACTTATCGTTACTTTCTGTCGAATTTCGACCAGAAAGCCTTCTATTTCGGTGCCTTGTGGTTTATAACTTTGTGAACTTCAGTAAATGTCATGTTTAAGGCTTTGGGAGGGACCTCGCAGATTATCTCAACTCGTTTTCTTCGATTCACGGACATTCTTCAGTAACCGTCACTAGATACAGATTTACTGTGGCCAAAAGCCATTGCTAAAACCATGCTATTTACTCCCTAACGAGTAATTAGTTTCGAAAGAAAATATAATAATTGTCTAGGTTATTCTTGCAATACTTCTATAAATATTATTGATTTATAACTGAAAACTTCAGTCACTGTCATGGTGCTTGGATAGGAGTGGCTATGATATTCTTCTGATTCAGTATGAAAAAAACTGCTTTTAACAGTCTAATGATTTTTGCTAGAGGGTCAGTAGAGTAAACTCCAAGATGTCTCATTGGTCAATCCAATCATTTTATTAAGTCTATTTGACTTTGGTCTATCTAAAACATTTTATTTTTCGGCATGGCATCCTTATATGTGTCAATAATAAGGACTCTGTAACACAGCTACCTGATTTTATACTGTGCTCAGAGAAGTCTCGAGTGTAAGAGCATCAATAAAGTAGCCGCTGCTCTATCTATATGAACTAGAGAAGGAGATCCTCAAAATTCTTAAGTCCTGTAATTCATTTACGAAATACAGTGCTTTGGAAACTTTCCATGCTGTTGAGTACTCCCTGTTTCATCGATAGAAAAAATTAACTAGTACTTAATAAGTCTTTCGATCGTGCAACAGAACAGTCGGGGATTGAGGTTCTTTTTTCTACAACAGTTAAAGTTTTTCAACATTCAACACAAAATAATAGGAGGTATAATACAAGTACAAAACGAGCAAGTGAATGAATACTTAAGCTTTAAAGTTTCGGTATTACTAAGATTTTTTTAGGCAACTCTTAACCACTCACACTACGTTGCGGCAAACTCATCTATAGCATCTGTGAATGAATCTCTTATATTGTATATGAGACCCGGTGGAAACGTAATACACCTGTCTTTAGAAGTTTTATAGACCTTCTTCCCTTTGGCGGTAATAGAACACATGATGGTTTTTCAATGTTTTTCTCCTTTTGAAAGGCAAACAGCAGACTTTCCGGTCGGCCAAAATGGAGTAGTTTTTCTCGTCCGTGAAGAAAAAGGTAAAAACGTATTTTACTTAGTTGAAGAGCCTATTTAAACGTCTCGAAGTTAAGTTAATACTGATGGGTTGGTCGTAATTTATTGAAGGTCCAACACTGAACAAGTTAGTGATTCTCACCTGTGTTGCGAAGTTCATAAGGAACTCGATTCTGGGAGGAATTTAACGTAATAACTTAGGTTTGTTATTTAAGAGTTCACTTCAGACATCTAAAAATATGTCAAGAAAGACCTCAAGCATTCATCGGTTTTCATATCGTGTATAGGTATCGTATTTATTATTATCTGATATTGGATATTCAAACATATGTGTCTGAACAGGTAGTATTGCAAACTCACCGAATATGTCCAATATCACCACACTTAAAGCATTTAGAATTACGAAGTGCACATGAATTACATGGCTGAGACTTGCCACGGGACAAACATTCATCATACTTGAGCCCATCTTCGTGAACTGTATTTCAACTCCTCAACGAATTGTTATCTACATAACCTTGAGTATGCACTGATTTGGGATGACGTAATGTAGTAGAATTTTTGGTATCCTGATGAATAATTTTACGAAATTTCCCTCCTTTACTGCAATCGAAATTTTCATACTTGACATGGTCTATTAATAGATTTTTGAGAGTTGTATAAGGAAGCGATATGAGCTTCTGAAAAACCCGAATTTTAATAAACTTTATGCCTCTTTTCCAATGAATGTGAGGAAGTGGGCCACAGTATTGACATCCTCAATGTCTTTGTTATGTTCGTTAACTTGAAGGTACTACTGATTCGTCTTACTCGAAGCGGAACGAAGAATCAAGCAAACAGAGACTCGAGAGGTTATACTGGTACGTTGTCCTCGACTCAGTTAACTCGATCCAGAAGTCTTGGTAAGATGTAAAAAGTGTATTCGACAGACAACCAGAAGATACCAGGTTCCTCAAGCACACAAATCAAGCGTACTTACACAAAATATATATAATCGATATTACAATGGAAGTTTTTAAACATTTAATCGATAAGTTCGTCAGTCGACGATGCGCGTGGGTGGTAAGAAATGCCCAAGCATACATCTGCATACAAGCTCCACAAAGATAAAATTACAAAATATGAGTTTTGAAGATCTGACGTCCCCAGCAATCTTCCTTCGTCATAGCCCGGATTTCTAACCTTTCCAAGTAATCCTCAAACGCATCAAAATCTGAATGCATGTCCAACCGTTCCATCACAGGCTCAAACGCGGCGCCAATATGATAATTAGGAGTGTTTAAATTATGGCACTAACTAAGAATTCCAGAAATAACGCAATTGGATCAAAAAGTACAAGATAAGCACGAACGAATGTACTGTATTTGTGATTCGTAATCAAACATTCAACAAGTACAGAGGAATCATTAGTTTATTCAAACACCACATAGAGTCTACTTTGCTACACAAAATTCTCGATCTTCCAAAATAAAACAGTGACTTTTTAAGGAACGAAATCGATTACGACATAAGTTCAAGGGCTATCAAGACTAATAACATGAGACAAACATTGTCAATTTACACATTTTCAGAAACATTACTTACATATCTAAAAGAATTCAGTGCAACTTTTGCGTCTATTTTTAATACTTGAATTTCTATTTCCAGTAAAAGATGAGTAAATTCTAATTAGAATAGTATTTCCGAAGATAATCTAGAAGCATGGAATAGGAGATACCACAATCAAGACGCCTCAAGTAAGGTATTCGGATGATCATTGAGAAGGACGTTAAGAGGTGGAAGAAACAATTTTTGAACTCAGACAAAAATGTATAGCCTTGAGATTAATAGTCCGACCATCTAGAAGAGAAGCATCTTACATAAGATTTGTTGAAAAAGACCACATTATTTGACCGAGCACCTTCAGAATATATTTAAACATCACTGTTGGACGTGCACAAAGATACTTGTATAGAAAACGTATTCACAGCTATAAGTTTTTGGTAGCTTGTAATGATCACGGAGACATCTTAGTATGTATTTGCAGACTTCAAAATATTTTCAACAACAAGGACGCGGCCAAAGTGTTGATTGTGGTACTGACCATTAACGTTCTATTTGCCTGCTTGAAGTTAGAACTAAAAAAGTTTATTTTCAGACACATTCGGAGTATCATTGCTAGTATTGGTTGTCGAATTATGAGTGTGGGAGTCGTGTTGTGCGATTGTACCGAAGGAAAGTCGACGTCAATAGGATTTCCTTCTAAATACACTGCTTTTAGGCGATCGATGCTGATGCTATCGTTTGTTCCGTTCTTATCGACTATATAGTACTTAGATTCACGTTGAAGAACTTTGAAGGGTCCTTCGTATGCTGATTCGAATGGTCGTCGATGCGAGTCTCGACGAACGAAAACGTGTGTACTATATCGTAAGTCAGGTTGAACGAAAACATCAGTTGATTGAGGTCGAGTGGAAGCAGGTTTAACTGAACGCATTGCGTTTGTAAGCCTGTTCGTGTAGGAGGTTAGATCCATGTTCATTGAAGAGGATGAAGGATCCACGAATTCTCCTGGAAGTCGAAGTGTCGTTCCATAAACCAGTTGAGCCGCAGTGTATCCAATGTCAGCTTTCACTGCATTGCGAATACCTAATAAGACAAGTGGAAGAGCGTCGGTCCACTGTGAAACGTTTGCAGCTGATAGTGAAGCTTCTAGTTGTCGGTGAAAACGTTCTACCAACCCGTTTGATTGTGGGTGGTAGGCGGTCGCTCGGAAGCGAGTGGTTCCTAAAAGTGTGGACAGATGACGGAAAAGTTTAGATTCAAACTGACGTCCGCGGTCTGTGGTGATGGTTGAAGGGCAGCCGAAGTTTGCTACCCATCGTTCGACGAAGGTGCGGGCCACTGTTTCAGCAGTGATGTCCTTGATAGGTACTGCTTCTGGCCATCGAGTGAAACGGTCTACGCAGGTTAAGAGGTAAGAGTGTCCATTTGAATCTGGTAAAAGTCCTACCAAATCCAGATGAACATGGTCGAAACGAGCATCAGGAGTTTTAAATGAGCCTAAACGACATTTATTGTGTCTGATGACCTTAGATTTTTGGCAGCTTACACAGAAGCGTGCTCACTCCCTCACGTCTTTATTCATGTCAGGCCAGCAAAACCGTTCTGCTATAAGCTTGATGGTTGCACGAACACCTGGATGAGAAAGTTTGTGCAATGTGTTGAAGACATTGCGTCGATAATGTTTCGGCACGATTGGGCGATCCCTACCTGTAGATGTGTCACAAAGTAAGGTTTCGTTACCTGTTCCCATCTGTTTGATGCGTAGTTTAAGTGTTGTGGACGATAACTCGTGCTGAAGATCAGTGTCTTCTTTTTGAAGCTCGGCGAGTTTCAGAAGGTCGATTCTT